TGATGATGATGATGATGATGATAATGATAATGATGATGATGATGATGATGATGATGATGATGATGATGATGATGTGATATAATGATAATGATATGATAATGATAATGATAATGATAATGATAATGATTATGATGACGATTATTATGATTATTGTCATCTAAGTTCTGGTTACACATGATAAAATACACCCAGATTTGTTTTACAGACCTAGGCCGACCACAGATATATTGCAATTGGAGAAATACATCAGTGACATTTTGATAACGCATTTAGAAGTTTTATTTATTTGATTAATTGACCTCAGGGTATATAGCCATTATCCCTGGGCATACATCATTGTCGGACAGGCTTGTTGTATCGCAGTAGTTAAAAGTAAATATTATATAGTTCATGGGAAACAGATTACAGTTTCATATATTTTAATCGAGGTTTACTTCGGTTTGAAGTTGCAGGAAATTTTGTGTATATGTCAAAATCGTACGTTTTAAATGCACTTGTAGTAATTCTTTTCTCTTATTGTGTTGTCTCGATTTAAGATTTCACAGAAAATGTGTATTTTCCAAGACAAAACAAAATTGAAATTAAAATGTGATCTTATTAAAAGGAGAAGAAAAATATGCATAAGGTTATTCGAAATAAATGTAAATATATAATCTAATCTTTATATATGTATAGATAGGTAGGTATATAGAGAGATAGAGATAGATAGGTAGATAAATAGACAGAAAGACAGATAGATGGAAAGATACGTCGATAATATAGAGAGAGATAGACGTATATAGAGAGAAGAGAAAGACAGAGAGAGAGTAGATAGATAATATAGAAGAGATAGACAGATAGATAGTCGATATAGAGAGAGAGAAAGAGACAGAGATAGAGAGAAGAGAGACAGAGAGATAAATTGATATAGAGAGTAGATAGATAGTATAGAGAGTAGATAAAGAGACAGATAGATAGGTCGATATAGAGAGCAGAAAAAGAGACAGAGAGACGATATAGAGAGTAAACAGAAGATAGATACGATATAGAGAGTAGATAAAGACAGGTAGAGAGAGAGAGGGAGAGAATGAAAATAAGATAGACACATTATCTTAAGAAAACCAAGGTGTCTAACAAGGTCGTTTCCTCCGGCAGTTAAGAGGAAGTTGGACGGGGACGACGAGTACTTCAACAGGACGACCACCACAACGACCACCACCCCCTCCCCCCCTACGACGGACGAAGACCAGCAATCAGACGAAGCAAGTGATGGTGATGACGGCGGTAAGGCTGGTGGTGATGATCATGGTGATGGTGGTGATGATGATGGTGTGATTAGTGAAGCTGATGATGATGATACTACTAATACCGAGGCTGATGATGATGGTGGTAGCGATTATGATGATGATGATGATGATGATGATGAACACGTCCGTTATCACGGCGATTCCGAGACGGTAGACGAGCATATAAAGCGCGTCGGAGGTGGCAATGATGACCTTCCCAACTTACCTGCTCTTCCTCCAGAGGGAGATGACGTGCACAGGCGGGACGGGGACCGGAAGAAGGCCGACGAGGAGGACTTTTACGAGCAAGACCGCAAGAGACGCGAAGAGGAGGAGAGACGCAGGGATGAGGAGAGGAAGAGGCGCAGGGAGGATGAAGAGGAGAGGAGGCGCTGGGAGGAGGAAGTCAGGAGGAAGGAGGATGAGGCGAGGAGGAGGGAGGAGGAGGAGCGATGGAGGTGGGAGAACGGGGTGGACGAGGCCCTCCCGACGACGGAGAAGCCCCCGCCGCCCGTCCCCAGCCTGTGCGACGGGGACTTCGACTCCATGGCGGTCCTCAGGCAGGAACTCTTCATCTTCAAGGACACAGTAAGTCGCGCGTAGGACTTCCGCTTGCTCTCGGGACGTCATTTTTTGAGTTCAGGGGAACGAGTTCTATCAGCTCTGCCAGCACTGAAGTCTTTTTCCCTCGAGTTCTATCAGATTGGATAAAAAAAAAAAAAATGCCAGCACTCGGGAAGTCCTTTTTTTGAGTTCAGGGAATCTGTTTCCCTCGAGTTCTATCAGATTGGATAAAAAAAAAAAAAAAAAAAAAATCTGCCAGCACTCGGGAAGTCCTTTTTTAGTGTTCAGGAGAATCTGTTTCCCTCGAGTTCTATCAGATCGGATTAAAAAAAAATGTTCTGTCGTATTAATGAAAGAGCATGGAAATTGTACACAAACCGTACATATATTTCCTTTGTGTAAATTGCACATATACTTTTGTGTAAATCATACATATACTTCTTTTGTGTAAAGGGGAAAATACACCTTTTCCTTTAAAACAATGGGACAAGCATTACACGCAGCCAACACAAGTCATTTTCCACAAACGAGTAACAAGCTCGTGTCCCTCATATCAATAGACCATAGAAAGTAATAAAATGATATCCCATTATATCCGTATCTTCAAAAGCTGCATCAATGAACATGATAATAATCATAAGGATGACAGACGTAGGATAGAGTATAGCCTCGTCCTATACGTGAACTGCCACCTCCCTCCAAGTGCTAGGAATAGCTGGGTCTCTATTCGCTCGCGGTATAAACATTGGCTTAGCACCTTGGCAGTTTTATCCTACTGGACTCTTATACACGTCTTTGTTTTTGATCATGTTATTATCTTTGTTATTATGATGGTTATTTTTGTTGTTGTGATTATTATCATATAGTATTAGTATTGTCATTGTTGTTGCTGTTATTATTATTATTATTATTAATATTATTATTAGAAATTTGATTATTTGATTGTTGTTATTATGTTATTGTTATTATTACCATTATTATTATTATTATTACTAATATTATTACTGTTATCAACATTATTATTATTATTATTATTTCACAAATTAGGGGCATGAAGAACAAATATACCTCTTTATTTCATCATTACTTTTCCAACGTTAATACAAGCCCTATCACCCCCACCCCCCTCTACACATATACCCCCCAACTGACCTCCATCACCCCCCTACCTGCCCCTACCCCCTCCCCCTACCTGCCCCTTCCCCTTCCCTCCTACCTACCTTTTCCCCTCCCCCATACTCCCACACCCCCTACCTGCCCCTACCCCCTCCCTCCTACCTGCCCCTTCCCCCTCCCTCCTACCTACCTCTTCCCCCTCCATACTCCCACACACCCCCTAACCCCCCCACTAACCCCCCCTTCTCCTCTTCTTACCCCCTCACAGTATATATGGCGATACGACGAGCGAGGACGTCTACGCGACAGCTACCCGTCTCTGGTCCACAACCTATTCTCTGGCCTTCCGAAATACCTGAAGAAGGTGGACGCAGCGTACGAGAGACCCTCCGATGGCAACATTCTCTTCTTTATCGGTGCGTTGTGAAGTTTTTTTTTCTTTTTTTTTTTGGGGGGGGGTTGTTTGTATGTATGTTTGTATGTGCAAGAGGCAGGAGGGGGGGGGTAGGTGTTTGGGGGATCTGTGTGTGTATATGTGTGTGTGTTTTTTTTTTTTTTTTGGGGGGGGGTTGTTGTATGTATGTTTGTATGTGGGGTAGGGTTTGGGGTCTGTGTGTATGTGTGTGTGTGTGTGTGTGTGTGTATGTGTGTGTTTTTTTTTTTTTTTTGGGGGGGGTTGTTTGTATGTATGTTTGTATGTGCAAGAGGCAGGGGGGGGTAGGTGTTTGGGGGTCTGTGTGTGTATGTGTGTGTGTGTGTGTGTGTGTGTGTGTGTGTGTGTGTGTGTGTGTGTGTGTGTGTGTATGTGCGCGTGTGTGTGTGTGTGTGTGTGTGTATGTTGTGTGTTGTGTGTGTGTATTATGTCTGTGCCTGGCTGTGTATGTGCGCGTGTATATGTGTATGTATGTGTGCGTGTGCGTATATATGAGTACGTGTGCGTATATATGCGTATATGTGTTTGTTTATCTATCGAAATGCATGTATACAAAGCATAGGTGACAGAGGACAAATCACGATCACAGTCAATATAATTAAATCCAAATTATGCATTCCAATTAGGCCGACGGTGCAATGAGACGAAACAGATTAATAGATTCAAAGCAAATCTCTTGAATATATTTTTTTACGATTATAATTAACTCTTTAATTAAGGAGATAATGATTGAAATTGACGATATAGGAAGACTTCCGCGATCGTAATTGAGAGTTAATTAAGGTGGTAATGAATGAATTTTGACATTTTTTTTTACCTTTCTTGACCTCGGAGGAAAGTAAAGGGGATAATGAATTAGATTTTTGACCCTTGACCTCGCAGGAAAATAAAGATAATGAATGAATTAGATTTTGACCTCCCTTGACCTTGCAGGAAAGCAAAGGATATCATGAATTACATTTTTGACCTCGCAGGAAAGAAAATGAGATAACGTATTAGATTTTGTGACCTCCCTTGACCTCACAGGAAAATAAAGCTAATCAATAAATTAGATTTATAAACTCCCTTGACCTTGCAGGAAAGTAAAGGACATAACGAATTAAATTTTTTGACCTCCCTTGACCTCACAGGAAAGTAAAGATAAGGAATCAATTAGATTTTGACCTCCCTTGACCTTGCAGGAAAGTAAAGGAGAGATAACAAATTAAATTTTTGACCTCCCTTGACCTCGCAAGAAAATAAAGCTAATGAATGAATTAGATATTTGACCTCCCTTGACCTTGCAGGCAAGCAAAGGAGATAAATAATTAGATTTTTGACCTTGACCTCACAGGAAAAATAAAGTCGATAATCAATAAATTAGATTTATAAACTCCCTTGACCTCGCAAGAAAGTAAAGATAAACGAATTAAATGTTTTGACCTCTCTTGACCTCGCAGGAAAATAAAGATAAACGAATTAAATGTTTGACCTTTCTTGACCTCGCAGGAAAATAAAGATAACAAACGAATAAATGTTTGACCTCTCTTGACCTCGCAGGAAAGTACTACTACGTCCACAACGGAGACAGGCTGGTGGAGGGGTCGCCGCTCCCCCTCACGACCTTGGGCCTGCCGGAGCGACTCACCAAGATCGACGCCGCTTTCTATTGGCCGCGGGCGAAGAGGACCTACTTCTTCAAGTGAGTGTTGGTCTTGTTTTTTTAAAAAATTATTTCGATTTATTTGGGGGAGGGTTTAATTTTTTTTTTTTTTTTTTACTTTTTATTTGTTTTTCTTGTCATTTTTTTTTTTCTGGTTTTAGTTTTTTTTTTTCATTTTTTTTAACTTTTATTTTGTATTTTCTTTCTTTAATTTTTTCTGGTTTTAGTTTTTTTTTTTCTTTTCATTTTTTTAGACTTTTTATTTGTATTTTTCTTCCTTTTCTTTTTTCTGGTTTTAGTTTTTTTTTACATATTTCTTTACTTTTTATTTGCATTTCTCAAAAATATCCTATCTTACTCACCCTTTACTCGCCCATTCACAAAAAAATCCCCATTTTACTCACCCTTTACCAACCCATTCACAAAAAAATTCCCATCTTACTCACCCTTTACTCGCCCATTCACAAAAAAAATCCCATCTTACTCACCCATTCACAAAAATTCCCATCTTACTCACCATTTACACACCCATTCATAAAGAAAACCCAATCTTACCCTTTACTCGCCCATTCACAAAAAATAATCCAATCTCACTCACCCTTTACACACCCATTCACAAAAAATCCCCATCTTACTCACCCTTTACACACCCATTCACGAAAAAAAACCCTATCAATTTACTACCCTATACACACCCATTCACTCCATCTTACTCACCCTTTACTCGCTCATTCACAAAAAAAATCCAATCTTACCTTTTACTCGCCCATTCACAAAAAATCCATCTTAACCTTTACTCGCCCATTCACAAAAAATCCCATCTTACTCACCCTTTACACATCCCAATTTACTCACCCTTTACTCACCCATTCACAAAACCCCCATCTTACTCACCCTTTACTCGCCCATTCACAAAAAAAACCCATCTTACTCACCCTTTACACACCCATTCACAAAAAAATCCCCATCTTACTCACCCTTTACACATCCCAATTTACTCACCTTTTACTCACCCATTCACAGAAAATCCCATCTTACCCACCCTTTACACACCCATTCACAAAACCCCCATCTTACTCATCCTTTCCTCGCCCATTCACAAAACCCCCCATCTTACTCACCCTTCACTCTCTCATTCACAAAAAAAATCTTACCCTTCACTCGCCCATTGACCCCGCAGCCGCCACGAATACTACCGATACAACGAGAAGACGCAGGCCATGGACCAAGGCTACCCGAAGAACATGGCCAAGTGGAATGGCCTTCCTGATAACCTGGACGCCGTGTTCACCTGGAAAGACGGTAGGTGGGCGTGAGAGATAAGGGGCTGATAAGGGAGATGGAGATAGATGGATAGATGAGGGAGGGCGGAGGGAGGGCAGAGGGGGAGGGGGAGGAAGGAGTAAGGGAGGAAGGGAGGGAGGGAGGGAGATGAGAGTCGTCCACGTACGTAGACGTGAGATAGAGAGGGAGAGAGAGAGAGAGAGAGAGAGAGAGAGAGAGAGAGAGAGAGAGAGAGAGAGAGAGAGAGAGAGAGAGAAGAGAGAGAGAGAGAGAGAGAGAGATTGTGCGAGGCCCCAGTTAATATTCATATATACGGCCAGGCATGTACAAGGATATAAATGCATACCTATCCATCTTGCCTATCTACCTATTAGATAGATGAATACACATTATCAGATGCATTTACTTCTGTTAATATTGCACGTCCGTATATGCGACGGACAAGAACGGAAAAACTGCCAACTCACCCGAAACGAAAAGTATCTTCAAAGAAATAAATGGGTGAAAATATAGTTGGATAGATAAATATCTAGATAAGTGAATGAATAGATATATAGATGAATAAAAGTTAATGAATAAGTGGATAAACAGATATCAATGAATGATAAAGTGGTGTATCATTTCTAAACGAATGAACAAATGGTGACTGCGAATATGTTTTTTTTTAATCATTTATAGCGTCCTTTTTTAGCCACGACGTGCAGAATAAAATAATAATAATGATAGCAAAATTCTTTATACAATTCTTTATACACGATTCTCAATATTGATTTATTGAAAGCTTTCTCCTTTCAATAAACCAAAGTTCCGTACATTTGATTTTTTTCCAAGGGTCAGCGCTAGAAACAAACAAAACAAAACAAACAAACACAAACAAAAAACAAAAAACAAAATTCTTCCCCAAAATAACATAAAATTTACACCGTCTTTCTTCCGAACAGGAGTGTCGTACTTCGTGAAGGGCAAAGACTACTGGAAATATGACAACGTGAAAATTCGGCCGTTCAGTGACTACCCCAAGAACGCCGTGGAGTATTGGGCGGATTGCCCAAGCTCTTCCTGGGGACCGTAGCGAGGCCACGCCCAGTTCCTCTAGCTGCGAACGGCTCGCCACGCCACCCCCCTGGCCGGGGACATCGCAAGGCTATTGAGAAAGGCGAAATGTCTTGGCTATGATAGATATTGAGTCTCTCTCT